CGTGTTAGTGATTTATTTAGACTCAAGCTCATCCCGCCGCCTGGCGGGTGACAGACCCTCCCCACCCTCTTCTCCTCACCCTGTCCCTGGGGCTGTTTTCATCTCCAGCCTCCAGCACGCAGGCCTGGCCCTGCTCCAGGCCGCTCCAGATGTCGGGGGCTCTGCTGGACATTGCAGGCTTTCCGGGGACCCCAGAATCTTATTTCTGGGGGCCCTAGCCAACCCCCTAATAATCTGTGGACCCTGGTCCTCAATCCTGCTGGGCCCCTCCTTCCCAACTAAGGAGGTGACAGGTGACGTTAAGAGGAAGAGGCAGCCTCTGGACCCTTCAACACAGTCTTCCCATTGAGCAGACGGATAGTTGAGGCCAAGAGAGGGGAGGCGATGGGGAGGCCCCCGCCCTGGATCTGACAAGAAGGCCTTTAAGATCAATGGGGAACCCCTCACACAAGATGTCATCTAAACCTCACCTAAACTCTCTCACCAAGAAAGGGTTACTGTCCCCTGAGGTGGAAGTGGCCCACAGAGCACCAGGCCAGAGCACGGGCTCCATCTGTCTTTCCCGTCTCTCTCTGTCTCGTCCGGGTGGGGCCTCCAGCTCCCAGGCCTGTTCATCGCTGTGTGACCAGGACTCTGTCCCACCCACTAGAAGTGTGTGTCATGAGCACTCACGCTGCCCTTTGGGGATGGGGCAGGTATCCCTGTTCCAGGGCCTCCTCACCATGCTGGTGAGCACTGTGGGGTGGTGTCCACCCTGCCCTGGGCCCCTCAGCACCCCCACCAGACCAGGTGAGCATGAGGAGGGAGCAGGCCCGTTCTCCTATACTGATGGCGAATTTTGAGCTCGGCGTGTCAGCATTTTGCAAAACCCTAACTTAACTCTGGTGCCGTGTCACATATAGAAATTTTTTGATATTTGCAACCATAGTAAAACAAAGACTGATATTTTTGATGTTTATTTTATATATTTAAATGCCATTTAACAAAGAAAAATCAACCAAAAAAATGAGTTCGCGTGTCACCTCTGACACGCGTGTCATAGGTTCGCCATCACTGTCCTATACAGCCCACAGCAAAGAGCACCCTGGGGTGGGAGCCCTTTGTTCATGGCCTGGGAGATACGCTCACCACTGGTTCTAGATCCTGAGAGCCATGATCCCGTGTTTCCTGCTCTCAACCAGTTCCCCTCGTTGTCTCCCTCCCTCCGACCTCCTCAAGGTAGGCAGAGGACAGGAACCATTGCACAGATAGCAAAACCGAGGCTCACAGGTTGCAGAGACTGGCTGCTACATGACCCTGGGCCAGTCGCTTACCCTCTGTGGGTCAGTTTCTCCATCTGAGGGGAAGGGAGATGAGATACCTTCCAGGGCCCTCTCTCCCCAGGCAGCCACATGCCACCTGACCTCCTCCCTCCAGTGCCCAGCGTGAGGCCAGTGCAGATGACAGGGACATGCAGGCGAGCACCTGCTTTGTGCAAGCGATCAATCAGTGTTGGCTGTGATTAATCATTGACCCCCTCAGGGCCATGGTTCCTCTTCATAGGGCGGGATTCCTGATTTAGGCCTCAAGGGGTTGCTGTGACCAGTCTCTTAGCAAGATCCCTGCAGGGAACATGACCTATATGTGTCAGCTCTCTTTCCCCTCCATTTGCTACATCTGGGAAATAAAGGCTGAAACCCTGCTCACCCACTGTCTAAAGATCTATAACATGGGATGTGAAAGTGGTAAGGAATGAAAAATGAAATCAGTATAGGCCCAGATCCTAATTTACATATGACTTTTCAGGTAAGGCCCAGAGAAGGATAGTTACTTGCTCAAAGTCACACAGCAGTTAGAGCTGGTTTTAGGTTGCAAAGTCAGTTCTTCTGACTCCAGCTCTTCCTCAGAGGGGTCCTCAAGGGCTGGGCAGAGAGAAGTACCTAGAAATGTTTCTTGGATGAGGGTCGAATAGTCACAGGGTGGGATCATGGAGGCTCTGAAATCTGGATATGATCTGGCAAGTAGCAGGGTGCCCTGGGGGATTTGAGCATTTGGAGGAAGCTATCTGTCGACCTTCCCAAAGCAACCCTGGGAGAGGGTGAAGGTGAGAGGGCCCCAAGGATTTGTGCTGGCTGGAAGCCCTGGGGCAGCCTGGGGACCATGATGTCGTCAAGGCTCATCCTGCTCCACAAAACACAGCCCTAACCCCGGCTTGGCAGGGTCCTTCCTGCTCTGCCCACTAACACCCCTTCCTGACCCCTCCCTAGCAACTGCAGGTCTGGATGTGGCTGCTGTCAGGGGACATCAAGGTCAAGGTTCCCGTGAGCAGATATCACAAAGGCCAGGTATAGGCCAGGTCACGTGACAACAGGGCTGGGCAGGGCCTAGGAATGAAGTCAAGTAACACTCCTCATTGGGGACCCCAGGCCGGCCGTGCCCAGGCTAACGCCCAGCTTCCCACCCCCTGGGTGGCCCAGAACAGCATAAACAGGTACTCCGGGGCCAATTACTTGCACGATGGTGACTTCCTCTGGCCGGGCTTGGGAAGTGGTGGGGACCCGGGCACCTGTCTGCCATCGTCTGCAGGTCTGGGATGTAGATGAGGCAGAACGGGGCTGCTGAGCCTCTCCCTCCAACCATCCCTCAGGGCTTCTTCGAATGTTAATCTGTCAAACTAGGGGGATACGAGGGAGTAAGAGTCACCGGCTGGAAACACAGGCGCATGCCTGTTATTTCAGGTGCCTGTGGGGGGGGGGGGGAGCCCGCCCGAGGCCTTGGGGCAGCGGGAGATGCTAGCTGCCTGGACAGGCACTGCAGGCTTCCTGGAGGTATGAAGGGCCCCTAGAGGGGTGGGGGGCACGTTGGGCAAAGGGTGCTGGGGCCCAGCAGGTCAGCTCTTGTGAGGCTCAGCACCCACATACATTGAGCCCCTGTCCCCAGCACTTGGCACGCTGGTGCCATCCTCAGCAGGCCCCCCTCCCTGGAGGGAAGACTCCTGCTCCTCACACCTCGTGCTCTCTGAGTCAGTCTCAGGTGGATGTGGCAGGTTTGGGGAGGCTGGAGTCTTGCTCATGTTTTCCAGAACCTTTTCAGACCCTCCCCGCCTGGGCTGGGTGTCGGGATCCAGAGGAGGACTGACCCAGCCCTCACCTCTAGGCGCCCCCAGCCTGGGGTCACAGAGAGCCAGATGCTCCCTGCGGGCCTGTACTGGTGGGATTCCTCGCGGGTCCCCAGAGCCTGACAAAGGGCTTGTTAAGGGAGGCAAAGCCTGCTGACTGCCTCTTCCCATGTTTTTTTTTCTGTTGTTTTTTTTTAATCCTCACCAGAGGATATTTTCTTCATTAATTTTTAGAGAGGGTGAAAGGTAGGGAGGAGGAGGGGAGAGAGAGAAACTTCGATGTGAGAGAGACACATCAACTGGTCGCCTCCCTCACGTGCCCTGACATGAGGGTGCGGGGAGGACAGGGAGCGAACCCACAAGCTAGGTACGTGCCCTTGACCGGGAATTGACTCGTGACCCCTCCGTCCTGGGGCTGACACTCTAACCACTGAGCAACCGGCTAGGGCCGTGGTCAGCAAACCGTGGCTCGCGAGCCACATGCGGCTCTTTGGCCCCTTGAGTGTGGCTCTTCCACAAAATACCACGTGCTGGTGCGCACGTACAGTGCGATTGAAACTTCGTGGCCCATGCACAGAAGTCGGTATTTTGTGGAAGAGCCACACTGAAGGGGCCAAAGAGCCGCGGTTTGCCGAGCCGCGGTTTGCCGACCACTGGGCTAGGGCATCCTTCCCCCATGATTTTAAGGCCCCTCCAGCTGCAAACGCATTCCCTGGAGCTCTGTCCCCCTGGTGTGGGGGGCAGAGGCAGGAGCCCCTCAGGCCTCCCCAGCCCAGCTTTCGGAGTGTGTGTGGGAGAGAAGGCAGACCTGGCGAAGGGCAGCCCGGGGAGAGGACAGAGCAGGGCAGGGCCCAAGGGCTGTCTTCCCAACAAGGATGACTGCTTACAGGAAAAGGGCCGCAGGAGGGGAGGAGGGCAGCTAAAGTGGTCCAGGTGATGAGAGACACATTTCCCCAAATCCCTTTTCCAGGGTGTCAAGACAATGAGTGGCCCACTCTCCAGGCCTCTCCCCCTCCGCCCCCGTACCCTCCACACACACCTGGGTTCTTAGACCCAAAGGGAGGACCCTGGGGACATGAAGTCAGTGGGCAGAGCCTAAGAGGTGGAGCTGGCTGGATGATGACCACCCTCCACGCCTCGTCCCCCTCCACCCCTCCCCAGCTCTCCGTCTTTATTCTTCTCCTTAGTTGGTGGTCGGTTTAGTCACAGAACGTTGTTAGGGGCCCCGAGGGCCAGCTAGGATCCAGTAGACCTTGGCGTGAACCAACTAGAGCTTAGAATCAAAATCAATAACTTGAAACGTGAACTCAAAGCTCAGGTGTGGAGCTCAGCTGGGGGACTGAGAGGCTGGGTCAGGTTGGCAGCCAACAACCCTCCCATGTTTCTGAAACTTTACCAATTCATGCTCCCTTTTGGTAAGCTATGCAACCTCACCCCATCTTTTAATATTATTCGAAATTCAAAATGAATTCAGTCCTGTGGCTAAATGTAAATGAGAGCAGTGGGGCTTAGCTGTGCCCCCATTTTATTTTTTTATTTTATTTTTTAAAATATATTTTTATTGATTTCAGAGAGAAAGGGAGAGGAAGAGAGAGAAAAACATCAGTGATGAGAGAGAATTATTGATCGGCCGCCTCCAGCACACCACCCACTTGGGATCGAGCCTGTAACCCAGGCATGTGCCCTTGACTAGATTCGAACCTGGGATCCTTCAGTCTGCAGGCCGACGCTCTATCCACTGAGCCAAACTGGCTACTGCTGTACCTCCATTTGAATAGGACCATTCTGCCCTCCCCATCTTCAGCAATTCACTGCAGACCTCAGACACACAGCACACAAGGGCTCCAATGTCCCTTCTCCTCATGGGGAGGGGACCTGCAGGAGGCCAGCCCTCCAGGCCACACGGTATTGGACGGGTCAGCCCTTTAGATCCTTGGGCCGGTTCAAGTCAAACTCTCCTCTGTAGGGTAAACCCAATCACTCGCACTTTAGTGTGAAATGGCAGCAAATGGATGCCCATCATTATCCACATCCTGATCTCTTTTGTGGCTTTTTTTTTTTTTTTTTGGAAGAAGGATGACTTGGAGGCCCAGAGAATTCCAAGGTTACCCAAGGTGAGGGTGGCTGTCCTCTCAAGGTCAGGTCTACAGTCCGTTCTCAAACACGACGGAGGGAGAATCACCGGGGACCCTTGTTAAAACGCAGACTGCAGTACACACCCCACCCCACCCCACTGTATTTTAAACAGACTCTGACACGAAGCTGTGTGTGTGTGTGTTCGTGTGCGCACGTGCACTGTGCGGGGGTCTTTCAGCTCAGGCATCACCTCCACTAAGCACGGCACCCCGGGCTTTGTGGGCGTCTCACACGGGGTTGGCATGCCCACAGTCATGGCGATGACGCAAAGAATTGCACAACTTGCACCGTGTCACCGTTTGGCACTTCTTCGTTTCTTGTATGTGCGAGGCTGAGGGGAATCATTACAGTTCTGGGGAGCTCCGTGAAGCTGTGTTGACTGCATGGATGAAGGAAGCCGTGGGGCCAGACTCCCCTGCACGGGGGCCTGTGGGCTCCTGCTGGCAGCCCTTACCACTCTGACCATGTGAGGGCTGGGCGCCCCTGAGTCAGCCCCGCCCGCCACGGGTGGGTGAGGCAGAAGCACCACTGGAGGCCTGGCTGTGGGTCTCCTTCCCACCGGCCTCCCCTGGTCAATTCACTGAGAAGAGACGAGGTGAGACGTCCGGCCCGCCCTGGGAACCCCACGGGAGCCCCATTCTTTACTGGAAACAGTGAGGGATGCATTCTTGGCGGCTTCAGTCGGTGCAAATCAGAGACATGGTTGAGGCTCAAGTCTGGTTTTGATCAATTTCAACTGAATAGACGGCTTGTTAAATCTGAGCTGAAGAGGCCTCCTTTCTGGACCCCTCGCCAGCCCTCCCCTCCCCACTGCAGAGCTGGAAGGCCTCCTGGAGAGCAGCGAGTCCAGTCCGCCCGTTTTACAGGTGGGGAGGTGGAGGCCAAGGCCACTGAGGCTGCGGTGGATCTGGGAGGGCCAACTCGGGCCAGGGGACTGTGGTTCTGGAGCCCCGCCACCCCCCAGCTGAGCAGATCTGGTTCAAGGGCCCCCTTTCCTGCTCCCAGGGGCTGCGGTGGATCTGGGAGGGCCAACTCGGGCCAGGGTACTGTGGTTCTGGAGCCCCGCCACCCCCCCAGCTGAGCAGATCCGGTTCAAGGGCCCCCTTTCCTGCTCCCAGTTTTCCAGTATCTCTGCCCATTCAATCTGGATACTTCTCCTAGGTGTCTCTGGATACACTCTCTCCTTTGTGGTTGAAGATGGGCAACTGGAGACTCAGACAGAGGAGACCCCTGGGCATTGGGGTCCTCATCTGTGAAATGCATTGTGAGGACATGGGTACCCAGTTCAGTGAGGAGGGCTGGGGCCCTGCCCACGCTGATGCCCAGCGGGTGCTGTTTGCTGGACTGGAATCTGCCTTCCTGCAACCCAATCCTCAGGCATCTCTCAGCCCTACCTCCTTGAGGCCTGAGCCACCAGCTGGGATCAGCAAGGTCATCCTCAAGGCCCTTTGATCTGCTGCCAGCTCCAGTGGCTGGAGCCTGGGCTGTTGGCCCTGGCAGTGATGGATGTGCCTGCCTGGCGTCCCGCTGGGAAGCACATGTCCCCTCATGCAGGTCCTGGGGCCTCTGCCTGGCCCTGGAAGCCCCCAGCTCCCACCCCCACGGCTCCCTTGCTCACACCCAGTCCTTTTGTCACCTTAGCCCAGCGGTTCTCAACCTGTGGGTCGCGACCCCTTCGGCGGTCGAACGACCCTTTCACAGGGGTCGCCTAAGACCATCCTGCATATCAGATATTTACATTACGATTCATAACAGTAGCAACATGACAGTTATGAAGTAGCAATGAAAATAATTTTATGGTTGGGTCACAACATGAGGAACTGTATTTAAAGGGCCAGAAGGTTGAGAACCACTGCCTTAGCCCGTTTCTCTCCTCCAACCACCTCCAGCCTTTGCTCCCACTGTCTCCTCCTCCTGCGGAGCTGCCAAGCCAGAGTCAAGGTCACAGCTCCTGGTCGAGTTCACAGGGCGTTCACGGGTGGCCCCTTAGTTCATCCCCACCACAACCACAGTGTGTGAGGCTGGCCACTGTGGCGGTCCCCATTTCACAGACGAAGCCCTAAGGCTCTGAGGGGCAGAGTCCGTGGCTGTCTCTGATGAACAGGGATCGGGGCTGCGGGGCTTGGCCAAGAGGGTACTAGAGGCTCAGAAAGTCCTGGACTAAGGGGGCTGGAAGGAGCCTGGGGAAGCGGTTGCGTTTAATCCAAACTCCAGAGGAATTCTCAACTCAGGGGGCCACTGACACGCAGCATCTCGAACAGAGAAACACCTTGGCTGGCAAGACTCCCCACTGACTCCCCAGCGTCTCTGGCCCCTGCTGGGATGAAGGACGCCGTGGGGCGGCAGCCTCTGCTGTGTGGGCAGCTCTGACTGGAAGGATGTCTTTCCTCCTACAGAGCCGAGTGCCCGGCACCTCCCATGGCCCCTTAGAGTCTGGAGACAGCGGCCAAGGCACCCTGGGTCCCCCTCCTTACAGGCAGGGAACACAGAGTAGGGTGGGTGTGGGGCAGAGAGGCCCAACTCAGGTCACAAGGGCTGGGCAGGAAGTCCAGCTCCCGCTGCCACTGATGTGTGGCCCCCACTAAGTCCCTGCCCCAATCTGAGCCCCGGTTCCCCATCTGGAAATGGGAGAAGACAGCTGAGGGGCTGACAGGCTCCTGGCTCATTCCATGCGGCCACCGTGAGGGGCTGTGGGAACTTCAGGTGACCTTTGGCTGCCCTCACCTCCCGGGGGGTTGCTTCACCAGCGGCTCCTTCCAAGCACTGATTAACAGCTGGGGTGCACCTGGCGGGCAGATGTCGGTTCCTCATCACCCCTGCTGATCCTGCGTGTGCACGCGCACAAGTTTGCCTCTGTGTGCGTGTGTGTGGATGTGTGCACACACAGATATGTGGGCGCACTGGGGAGTGGGGGAAACACCAATGGGGGACAGGGCTGGCATTGCCAGGGTTCATGGTGGGACCCTGGGAGGTCCCTACCTAGTCTGCATCGGGGCCCCCCTGGCCCTGAGCACTGCCAGTCGGAATAGGACCTCAGAGCGGGTAGGGGCTGTGGTGAGCCTGAATGCCCCCTCTCTCCTGGCCTGGGGGTGGCCAGCAGAGAGTCAGACTTCCACAGATGAGCATGAGGCTGTCTTGGGGGGACTTGGGAATGAGGGGCACTTGCTGAGAGCTAAGGGAGCCTG